AAGTGTTTAATCCTTTCAAGGAAACAACCCTTCATTTCATTATTGAAAAAATATTTTTGTTTTCAATCCTTTTATTTTGTAATCTTTGTTTCTTCTTGCTTTTCTAGATCCTTGAAACGCATCATTTTGTTTTTACATCTTTCAGTTTTCTTGATGCAGGTGCTTTCTGCATAAACTTCTTAGGATGTTTTGGGGGATAATTTTTTGCAAATTTTAATCTTATAAATTTTTAAGTATGTGTGTTTCCATTGTCATTTTGACAAAAAATTTTAGATTTCCTTTTACATTTCTTCAATAACCCAGCTTTAATCAAGAGTATTTGTATAACATACGTATCTGTATAATTCCAAATGTTGCTGTTAGTCTTTTTCAATTTGGGTTAGAAAAACATATAAGACGACTTTCATTTTTTAAAAACTGTGTTGACTTCGTTTGTGGTGTGAAACAGAGCTAAGTCCTAGAAGCTGTGCCATCGGATTGTGCAGTCTGAGGTGTTAAATGGACTATGCATAACGTCTTAGATCCATTTGTACTAGAGTGTGACTTGATTCTAATGCGTTTTTGTTTATCTTTTTTTTTTTTTTTTGGTCTGGATGATCTGATCACTGATGAAACGAGAATGATGAAATCCCCGACTATTCCTGTACTCTGTTCCTTCGCTTAGGTCTAATGTTTGTTTTATAAATGTGTAGGCTCCAGCCTTGGTTGCGTATGTACTTATATTACTATTGTCTTTGAATTGCTTCCTTCATCATTATATTAGCAAATTTTTTGGTCCCCTTATGTCTCTTCCCTTGTTATTGGTAGCCACAGCTGCAGGGTTCCCAGGTCTTGATGATGGAGGCTGGGGCAGCAGGAATTCCAGACCTACAACGGAGGCAGAGGTGTGTGGCTCTCTGTGCTGAACAATCTCGTGGGGCTCAGGGGAAGGGGATGAAAGGGACCTGGATTCTGGGGTAAGGGTACATGACTTCCCTTGTTTAACAAATCCAGGGGGCGAGTGAGGAAGGAGCCAAAGTCCAGCCTGGGAATGTGCTGCCCTGGGTGGGGTGGGCAGAGGTAAGCCTCCGTTTCTGAGGTCCTATGAGCAGTATCTGCCCTGCTGGAGCAGTCCACCACCTAGCTGTGTGTGAAGAGTTCACTGTTGCTTCTGTGGGCTGAGTTTGCAGACTGCCATCCCTTTTGCTAGTGTGTTCAGGGCGGTCCCAGGAACGGGAGGAGGTGGCATGAAGAGATTTCTGACCTCCAGGGCAACTAAAGATCTTCAAGGCAGTGGCACTCTCCTGCAATCTGTACCCCGAGTACTGGGGGTGAGGACAATATGGATTCCTGTGCTCAAGGGACTTTGCTGAGTGAACGCCCTATGGCTTCCCTTGCTGCTTGCCCTCTAAGCCTGCGGGACCCTTGACTAAATCGGATTGCTGATGGGCGGTAGGACAAGATCCACTGCCTTCTGGAGCTTTGCTATTTACTCCTTCCCTGGCATCGGAGATCCTTGCCCACCTGTGGTGCCCAGGGCATGGGTGCCAGGGCACTCTGTTCCATTCTTGATGCTGCCATCTTGGTTCTGTTTGTTCTATGGCATTTTACTGTCTCCCTTGTTGAGTTCCAGTGTTCTCCCTTGGTCACCCACCTCAAAATGAAGTTGTTTACTTGTTCTTTTTTTTTTTTTTTTTCTCCCCTGTGCAGGAGGAGATGAATGCTGTCTGGCCAAGTAGTGAGGAATAAATGAAGAAATCAGGATATTGATGGTGCAGATTAAAGATGCGGGGAGGACATCATAAGTGTCTTTGTGAAGACTTGGGGGGAGCTTGATTAGATTAAACCAGACTTGAATCAAGAAAGGGAAACTGTGATATAGCAGATTTCAATATACATATTTATCTCCTAGAGATGTTAAAATAGACAAAGATACTTTTTAAGGTGACAATCTTCCTGTTGCTGCCCATTATAGAGTCCATCTACATCTGAGTATTTTTTGATCAGTTGGGGAAATCTAAATCAGTTTTGAAAATCTAAAAATTTTACACTGTAGTGAACACACACATTAACTTCTTATTCTTGAAGTCGTTTATAATAATATAGGACTTATTATAGGATTAACATCTGGAATACATTTTGCAATTGTAAATCTTTCATAGGCAAAAACGGAGCCCGATTTTACTAAAACAAACAAAAAAACCACTTTCAAATTGGTGGGCCTTCCAAAGATTATCCTGTGAACAACACTGTACCAGCTTCAGGGTAAATATAATGGTGAGGTGTAGCTTTTCCCTAACAAGGCCTGTACCAAGTCTAAAGCATCCTTCAAAATTCCTCTGAATCCCACCCTCGGAGAAAGGTCACATTCAGACTTTGGCCATCTGAGCATGCGCTGTCTTGCATTTTATTAGAGGTGAACATTTCTCGCAATGCAGGTATGCTCTGATTTATATTGAGCATGTTAAAACGTGTAGAACCAATCTAACACTTTCAAACCAACCCACGGCCAAATAAAACAATTTCCCAGGGGTTCACGAGAAATGGATGGATTTATCCTGAGTATGTATCTGACACGTGGACTTCATCATGCTTTTGTAATAACTAGAAAAATCAGCACATGAATTTTTAAATCATGTTTCACTTTCTTTCATGTTTTCATTCCTTTGACTTGCGCATATAATGTGGAAATAGTGCTTCTTCCATTTTAATAAAATCTCCTAGCTATATTGCTATACTTATGTGTCTATGTATGCTTTGCATATGTATATGTATTTCACGTGTGTTCAGTTATACACAATTAAAGCTGTGGCTCCAGGAAATGAGTTATCCTGGCTTGGTTGGAAGCTATGTCAACTGGAGGTGAAATGTGACAGCAGACACAGCAGCTAATTCAGGGGAAAGAACTAAGATTGGCAGGGTTACTAACGCAAGTACCTGATAAGAGATGGAATGCGCTAGTTCAGTTATCTAGAGTGTTTCCGTTTCTTCTCACATTGCCATTTTTATCTATGAATACAGGAGATACACATTTATATAAAATTGAAATGATTTGAGTCAGGAAAGTGTCCAGCGCATTGCTTCACAGGGTAAAAAGCAATGGCCTGATTTCAGGCAAGTACTGAGTCAGCTGAGTGGCCCAGTTCAAAAGTTTTCATGAGCTTCGTTTGTTAGGACATGTATGTGTTCTAGTGATTTTTCTCTTTTTGTATCTTTCTGGTGGAACAAAACACTAACTGCGAAGCTCAGCACATTTCTGTAAGTGTATATGTATTTTTTCCATTAAATACCCCTTATTTACTTAGTTCAATCAATATTAGTTGAGAGGAATACTTCAGAGGCCCTCTATATTAATACAGAATAGATGATACAGTGTGTCGTGGAGTGTGCTATATCTATGACAATCACAGATTCTAATTTTCTATAATGTAAGTTTGTATAATTCTGTTTATTTTTAAAAAGATAATTTAGTCAATATGTAATTAAATGTGCTTATTAAAATAATTAATCAAATAATAAATACTACAATGTAATGAGAGGGAACTTTGCAACTTAACTTATAATTTTAAGATAGTAAAAAAATAAAATTAATAATAACTTGGCAAATCTTAATAGAATAATTATAAAGTGAGTAACAGAGCAGATATTAATGAAACAAAATATAATAATGTCGATTCCAAAATTGGAAAGTTAAAAGTGTTAAAATTGGAAGATACCTGGTAATATCACAAAAAGGCATGATTAAATGATATTAATAAAACAAAGATAATGTAGCTATGGGTTATGATATCATATTATGAAGAACTTCACACCAACTAATGTGAAAACAGAAAACATGAAACACGTTAAGGTTATCTGAGTACAGAAATATTGAAAATCCATGCATATGAGGTGTCTTCAAAAATATTGGAAAACTGTATGAAAAGACTATGCATAGATTTTTAAAAATTTTTGCAAAAATTTTAATTCGATTTCACATAAATTTCCTGAAGTACTCTTGCATATTGTGTGAAGAACTAGGAAAAGGGGAGCTTAATGGCTCTAAGCATCAACAAATTGTAAGAAGGGGCCCGCTGGAATCCCATATGGGTGCTGGTTTGTATCCTGGCTGCTCAATTTCCCATCCTGCTCCCTACTTGAGGCCTGGGAAAAGAGTAAAGGACGGCCTAAAATCTTTTGACCCTGCACCATCATGGTGGACTTGGTGGCTTTTAGCTTCTGGTTTTGGATTGGCTCAGCGGACAGATGATCTTTCTCTCTCCTCTTTGTAAATCTGACTTTCCAATAAAAATAAATAAATCTTCAAATGAGAGAGGGAGAGAGACAGAAGGGGTCAGCATTGCATGGAACTGGTGTCAGTAACCATTCCAATGCTAGGATACCACAGCAGAGTACCCACTGGAAGCCTGGATTTCTGCTCCAATCCAGGTCTAATCCATGCTCCTGCACCTCAGAATGCTTTTGCTTATGGACGAAGGACTTGGTCCCCTGTTCAAGTGGAAGATCAGGATGGAGTTCCCGTTTCCTGGATTTGGCAATGGACTGGCCCCACCCACTGTGATCATTAGGGAGTGCAGAAGGAAGAAATCTTGAATTCTCTCCCTCAGATTTCCCCCCCAAATATGTATGTGTATATATGTATACATACTTACAAAGAAGAAAAGAGGAAACAGAAATGGCAATTACCTTGATTTGAGCAACATACATAACTTTAGAGAAACATCACATTATGCCCTATACAAAAATTTAAATACACACACATTTGTGACACAATTACACCATTAAACATTGATGGCGAGGCAAAGCGAATTTGATCTCAATTTGTTTTTAGCCAAGTTTGCTCTTCCTGCGTAGTTACTGCTTTCTTCTTGCACATCTGTAGCTTTCGGCAGGGAGGTGCCAAGCAATACCTTTACGTAAAACTGACTAGTATAAAGATGTGTTCACGAGTATTTCTAAGACAGTGTAAAATCAACGTAGAAAAAGAGTCTGTAGAAGGTTATAAAATTTGACAGCCTTACCTCCAAAAAGATGAAATGCTTTCCTGCAGCTTGGAAGGGGCCATTTGGCAGAGCTGGATTTTTGAAAGCTTTGTTTTATTTTCAAATATTCTTTAGTAAAAAATGTTTTTGTGGCATTGTTCAGTTCTGGAGTAAAATAAAACAATTTTTAAACACTGGTTTGAAGCAAACGATAAGAACATGACAAATGATTGGTGTAGTATTTTGATTTAAAAATTTCAAATCCCTTTAAGTTACTTAAGATAAAAATAGATTCAATTTTTAACTTTGGCGAATATTACTCTTCCCAGATTCATATTTTATGCGTTTTATATGCCAATACATGCATTTACTGAGTAGTTCCTAGACCAGTACTGTGTCAGGTATAGATAAGGTATAGTCTCCAGTTGCAAGAATATGTCAAATTTAGATGGAAATAATATGTGTTAGGACTCTAGCAACAGGCAAGCTTGTAATGCATTCAGAACCAGGAAGAGACAATGAAATAGTAAGATCTTCTAGACTCTGTGTTTGATGGATAAGGCAGATGTGAGAAAGTTCAGAAAGTGCCATAAACAAACTCTCATCCCTCTTATAAGATTGCTGAAGAGGTAAAATATTAATTTGAAGTGCATGTGAACCAACTGGACGACACACGTGATGGTTCTTTGCATAACCCAGTCTCTATGTTTGAGCCATGGGAAGAGGACACGATGTGAGCTTGGACTGCTTCGTGGAGTTCTTCAGATGGGTGTGCAGAAGTGGCTGACAGCCTGGGAAAGTAAACTGGCCCATTTCTTCAACTGACCTCTCATGTTTTATCTCACAGTTGTCATCTACACCATTCCCCTAGGCTTGGAGCTTCACCTCAGCTGAACTATAAAAAATAAATCTGTTTTTCATTTCTCTTGCCTTTATTGCCTTTATTGTCTTTCATTCTTGTCTTCCCTGCCATGTCCGTCTGGTACTGATCTTTCTTGTCTGTCCTTCTGTCTCTGTGTGTTCGCTGGTTCATTTCTTCCTATGGCTCTCTGTTTTCTGGGTGCCGTTCTGTCTTTCAGGCTGTTCGTGTGTCCTTTGGTCTTTCTGTTGGTCTGTCTGTCTGTCTTCCTGTCGGTCTGTCTCTCTGTTGTCTCTCTGACTCAATGTCATTGTGTCAGTCTGCCCTTCCGTTGTTCTGTCTTTGTCTTTCTGTTTGCCCGTTCTGTCTGAACGTCAGTCTGTCATTCTGCCTACTTGTAAGTCTGTCAGTCTCACAACTAAAGCCTTCTTTCTGTCTGAATGTCTTCTGTCCATCTGTCCATCCTTCTGTCTGTCGGTCCTTTCTTCCCTGTCTCTGTGTTTGTCTTTTAGTCTGCCTGCCTGTTTTCTGTCATTCTGTTTCTTTTTGTCTGTCCAATCTCCATGGATGTCTGCGGTACAAATGTGTGTCTTTCTGTCCTACCTGCTTTCGTTCTCTCTTCTTCCTTTCTGCCTGCATTTCTGTCTGTCCACTGTCCGTCTTTGGTTTTGCCTCTCTGTTGGTGTCTTTCTGTCTCTTTACCTTTCTGTCTTTGCGTTTATCTTTTTGTCAGTCTTTCTGTTGTTTGTCTTCTGTTTTTCGTTTTGATGTCTGCATGTGTCGTTCTTAAAAATAAACTTAGTTGCTTGATTTTGCACTTCTAAGATTTATGAAACATCTTACCGTATCTGCCTTTCTGTTGATCATCCAAGGCTTTAGGGCCAGAAATGACAGTTTTATCATTTGGCATACTGATTTGTTCACAAACAAATCTCTTTAAACTAAAATATTTTTGAAAAATATGCACCTTGGTACACAACTGAATTGCTGTGTCTTAAACTTTAACAGGCAGCTCAAAACACCCGAAAGGATTTAACAATGACAACCCCATGGAACAATGTGGGTAACTAACTCCCTATTGGCAGCGTAAGGCTGCATGGGGTTGGAGGGAAGTGAGGAAGAGGAGGGATGTGTCGGCCCCACATTCGAATGCACCTAGTACTGAGACTTCTGCAGCTGAGGTCCTGGCCAGGGACGCTGCTCTGTCACTGCTTGTTTTTCGAGCTTTGCCTTTAAGCTCATGATATGTGAACTACAAGAACAGAGCCCTGGAAGATGAGAACCTATTGGTAAAAGGAAATTGGAAGACAAGGCCAGTATTTCATACTCTTTATGAAGCAGGTGACACAATCATGTGGCATCAAGGGAACACCAGAGATGACAAATGAAACTTCTGTGCCTCTTAGGTCAACGCAACATGGATTGACTGTTAAAATCTAAAGGGGAAACTGGCTGAAAGGGTGTATCTTTAAAAATATGAAGAATATTTGGGATAGAAAGAACAGACTGGGAAACTATAGAAGTCAGGTGAGGTTAGAAACTACCCTGCAACTTCAATATCTTTCCTAATTCCACACTTAAGAACTTATCATTCAAGTACAAATAGTTCCAGGAAATGTATCTTTAGAATCTATATGCCTGTGATATGTGGTAAGGTTGTGATGTATTTAATAGTGAAATCTGAGTGCTTCTTTGTCACAGCAGTAAGTACTTTGCTTAGTGCACTGGTGTTCCATGTTGAAGTGCTGCTTCGGGTCCCGGCTCCTCTACTTAGATTCCCTCTTCCTGCTAAACTACATCTATGGAGAGAGCAAATGCTGCTTGGGGCCTTGTGAGCCCATGTATGAGATGTGGATTGAGCTTCTGCTTCTGTACTTGGTCCTGGCCCTGCACTGCACATTCGCGGATTGAGCCCGCAGATGGGAGATCTTTATGTGTCCCTTGAACTTTCAAATAAAATGAAAATAAATAGACATAAATCAAAATTAAAAAAAACCAGTTAAGTCATTTTAATCGGACATCCTCTCACTGTTTTTCACAGTAATTCACAGCTGCTTCATTGAAGCCTACTGCACATGGACAGCCTGCTAGTATAGAATGGTGCTGGCACCATCACTGGCTAGAATAACTCTTCAGTGCCTGGCATCATGATGAAGAATATAGACGAAGGTATCAAATGGCTTGGGACACATTCGTTTACACTTACAATAGTCTTGCTGTAGGACTTATCTTTCAGCACTGATGACTAATACTGGGTACTTTCTGAGAAATTAAAAATCTCAGAAGATGAATGGTATTATGTTAATTATTAACTCTTGGGGAAAAAAAAAACCCGGCTTACAATTTGCCGCATGTCTTTGTGAATGAAAGCAAATGTGGTGGATCAAAGCCAAGGTGAAGAGTTTGGAAGTTGATGTTTAATAGTCGTCTCTTCCTCGCCCTTATTTCCTGGAAATCTTGTGATTAAGTGGTACTACATTTATTAAGCGTTGATTAAATTCATAGTAAAACAATTCATTACAATTAAGCATATATATTTTTAAGGACACTTCAAGCATTTGGCTAAGTACAAGATTTAAGGCTGTATAATAGAATCTAATGTAAGTACTGTTCCCATCTAGTAAAAACGCATGAGTGAAAGGAATGCTAGGCTGTCTTAAGGTCTTCTTCAGGAGGGCAACATGATGAAGGTATTATGAATATCGGGCCCAGGCATATAAGTGGATCCACTAGGATTCCGCTCTGACTTAAAAGGCTAGACAACATGTGTCCAATCATCCCATTCACACATTGATCTATTTTAAACGATTTCTGATTCTTGTGAAAGCCGTTTCCACTCCACAATTCCTTTCTTGCTTCTATGATGTTGGATATATTACATTTTTTGATATGCAAAGTATGAAAATGACTTGACAATATTTGTAACATATTGTAGTAATTACAAATAAATGCTTTTCCAACAGTTTCAAATTCTATACTTAGGACATGTCCCTAACTTCGTGCAGAAACTTGGCCCTCCTAGATGTCAACAGTTGTGAATTCTTTTTCACAAGCAAGATCTGGCCCCCAGATACTCATGTAAGGGGCATTTGCCAGGAACAGAAGAGAGTGGAAATCACAATTCTAATCAGGGAGCAATTGTGTAAAATAAGAGACATCTAAGAAAAACAATCATTAGGCTGATGTTCAATCCTTGTACCTTGACACAACTTTTGTTTTAGTAGCATCTTGTGAGATGATCTTCAGAATATTTAGTCTCCTTTCATTCTCATCTGGCTGGGTTGATTTTTACTATTTTCCAAAGGTATACAACACTTAATAGTTTTCTCAGTAGTTCTGAACAGAAGAGCAAAGCGGAGTGAGGGTGGCTGCTGTGTTACATCTGAGAGCCTTCTCTTACGCAGGCATGAAATAGGGTTATTTTGTCATCCTCCATCCACCCTGCTGTGTATCACTGGAAATCCTCAACCTGTCTCAACACAACCTTCAGGAACAGCTTCTGCTCCTCCTTGGTGGCGGCGGAAGGCAAGGGAACCAGGCTCCCTTGTGGTGCATACAGGTGAGGCATTCAGAAACGCTCACCCATACACTGAACAAAACAACCCGGAGGGAAAAAACTTTAGGTCCACTGCTACAGTGTGTATTATCCAGAAAAAAAAGTTTCAATCACAATAAAAAACATAGCGTAAAATAGAACTGTTTAAGTTCTGAGCTACAGTTCTTGAGATCAAGCAGGTTCTCACCTTACAGTAGCTACCATGTGAACCCCTAACTGCATTGCTTAAGGAATTTGGGGTTCCAAGGGGTCCCAATACTGACAAGTATTTATTCAAGTATCTTGAGAAAGTAAACTTGAATCTAATTTTCACACCTTTCCTCTAGTGAACTGCCCAAAGACAGTGTCTGATTTGGGAAATATGCAGCCACATAATAGAAGCATATGTAACAGGTACAAGAATAAATACAACCAAAACAACTCGTCCTACGTTTGTGAAAATGGATGTATAGGTTTTGTAATATCTGATTCACTACAGAGAGTAATTTATGCTTGGCAGACATGAATATTTAGAATGTCCTGTTTTATTATCTAAGTTCTAGTTTTGGTTAAAAATTATCCATTTTAATACAATAATTCCATTTAGTGCTTTGTATGTAATATTTCATACATAACTTCATTTATTTTTTATACTGCAATAAGGAAACGGTTTCTATAATCATTAACTATCTCAGCACAACTCTTGAAATACTTTGAGACTTTCTCATATGACAGCAATAAAAGCTTTTTGTTTCTGAAAATTCTGTTCATTTTGTGGTTATAGATATCCTTTAATGGCTTTAAAGAACTGAAAAGGCATAACTCTTAATTACTGACGAATAATTGATTTGCCCATTGTTGGGGCAATGAGGGCAAAAGGAAATCTATACTGGTAAACCCAATTCAGCCAGAATGCCATTTAGTCTTAGTCCAGTTTAGCGAAAGCTTTTACTATGAAAGACAAAATGCTATGCATTTTACTTTGTTATGGCGCCTCTTAGCATTCTGGAAAAGGGCCTGGTGTGGGAGCCTAGTGTGTAGGCTTGCATGTGCTGAAATCCCATACGGGTGTTGGTTCTGTATCCCGGCTGTCCCACTCTACTTCCAGCTCCCTGCTTGTGGCCTGGGAAAGCAGTCAAGGACGGCCCAAAGCCTTGGGACTTCACACTGGTGTGGGAGACCCAGAAGAAGTTCCTGGCTTCGAATCGGCTCAGCCCTAGCCAATGCGGCTGCTTGGGGAGCGAATCAGCAGACGGAAGATCTTTTTCTCCGTCTCTCCTCTCCGTAAATCTGACTTTCCAATGAAAAGAAATAAATCTTTAAAAAAGTTTAGGAAAAAGCTTCTGAAAGTTATGAAAAAGTGTTTTTGAAGTAATGGGTAGGCATATATTAGTGGATCCAGAGAAGGTGAGCACGGCATCCACTTCTGGCTTTAAAGAAACCAAGAAAAGAAGTGGGACTTTTTTAACCCCACTCAGCATCATTTTCAGCAGTGCAGTCTGGCTTACACTCCTTCCTTACAATTGTATTAAAACTTGAGAATGAAACAAAACAGTAACGATCGTCCTACTCCTTTATGTGTTCTCCCATTTCCAATGTTCGCTTTAGTTTTTTTATGGAGACTAACTTCAGTATATGTAAGTCACCGGTTTGAATTGTTTCACAATGTGGAAGTAACATGTTAAACAACTTTTGATTTCTAGATATAGACTCTAATTGTTACGAACTTCCCTTTGCTTTTTTTTCTAATTTGTTTTTTTGAAAAGTAGAGTTATGGAGCAAAAGGAGAGAGAGTTTTTTTTTTTTTTCTTCATCTGCTGGTTCAATCTCCAGATGGTTGTAATGGCCATATCTGGGTGGGTCCATAGCCAGGAACCAGGAGCAGCTTTCTGGTCTCCTACGCAAGTGTGGTAGATCCAAGCACTTGGGCCATCCTTTGCTGTTTTCCAGGCCATAAGCAGGGAGTTGGCTGGGAAGTTGAGCAGCCAGGACACGAGGCAGTGCCGATAGGGGAAGCCAGTGCTGCAAGTGTGGCATGGTTAGTTGCATGGCTCTCCACAAGAGGCGTCATTGCTGTTCCTCCTGTAATCCTTTCCAAGGAATCTGGAGATGGAAAGGATGCTTTCCTGCCCCACTCAATGGTCCAGCCGTATGTTTGGGAAGAGGAATTTCCAGGAAGTAACTGCCCTCTCAAGGGACCACTTCTGTCTTCTCCATGCCTTACTCTGTCCCAGCTAAGGGTGAGTAGTTGCACTGTCTGATGAGAGTTAGGACAGCCTGGGGTCTCAAATATATTTTTCTACTAGCTAAAGGAACCAGGGTTGGAAGGTTCTTTTGTTTTCAGAACTGTCTAAGTCCCAAACATTAATTTGTGCCACAACCTGCATGTAGTATGAATAAGAGAGAGAGAGAGAGACAGAAAGAGAGAGAGAGAGAACTTTACTTACTTTTTACTTAGAGATAGTTAGGCATATTTACAAGCCTTTATGCAGATGGTTGGATCAGGTTACTCAATGCTTGCTTTAATAATTTGACTCTCCCATGCAGTAAAATGACCCAAGAATTTGTTTCAGGGAACCATCAAGTGATTTTTATTGCATTTGATTTTGTTACTAATTAGGTACAGACTTTGGCATGTTGGCTCATCTCTGGCTGATCTGAGTGTTTTTACAGCCTTTCGCTCATAATATGTATTATACCTTCCATAACTTTCCCATAAGGGTTCCCTTTGTCCCACACTCACTAATTTTTAGCTCTCAATAAATTTATTTTGATTGATTGATTTATCAATTTATTTATTTATTAAAATTATTTTGAATTCCTATATTTTATTTTTCTGTAATGATTAAACTATTGTTGCAGGTTTACTTTTTTCTCATCCGATATAAAGATCATTAGAGCATTTAAAAGATTATGCCTTTTCCCTAAACTCTTAATCTATGTCCTCACATTTTTTTCAGATCAGTTCTCTGTGACTCCAGAGGAAAGAACAAGTGCCTACGAATAAGGTGTAGCGAGAGGCAGATAGAGTAAGCAAAGATTTCACTACATCAGATGACACTTCCTGGACCTTGGGGATGTCCAAACAAAGATGGGCTAGCCCCTCGTTCGGATGCTCTGGAATGGATTGGAGTGCCAAGCCTGGGATTAGAGACAATAATCTAGTCTTATCTGTGACTGAATGGTTCTTACATACCTGTACAAGTTGGGTGAAAAATGGTTTTTGTAAAGTACAGATTAGCAAATTAAGCTATATATACATTTCTTGATGACACTTTTTAAAGATAACTTAGAAAGTGCCCTTAGAATTTCAACAAATCGGTAGTCTGAATAATCAATGCTATCAATGAAAGGAAACAGTTACCTGTCTGGAAAAAGACTCTAGATATGATTGTCCGACACAGCGGGCAGGGGGTGCTTGCTGGGTTGTCTTTGGCCAGAGTCCGTAAGCAGGGCTCACAGAAGATGTGGCGGCAAGGGTAACACATGTAAGGGTTGAAATAGACATCCAGACACACGGCGCAGACGTAGCTGTCCTTTTCTTCCGCACAGTCGTTGTCTTCATCTGTACTCATGTCATTACTCAAACTCTGCAAAAACATAAAACACGTTTCCTTGCTTCATCGTGAGGCTGGTTTCCATGACAAAGAACAAAACTGCTTCTGAGACACAGTCAGGGTGACAGAAATGTTACATTTCAAAGTGAAAAGAATACGATCTGTGGATTTGTGTGAAAAAAAAAAATCCTGAAAGCTAATTGTTCTTTTTAACATTTTAACACAATACGCAATAGTGAAGCATTCTTAAACGTAATAATTATACCTCTCTTTGTAAGCAGGACTAGTGGAGTAACTCAGATGTAACAACCAGTTCTAGGATTACAGACTTTTTTTTTTTTATATTTTGCACTCCTATCAAATAAATGACAGTGACGAGTTTAAAGAGTCCTAATATGAGAAGATGCAACGTTTATACTAAGCACTCTCTTAAGACCTTGGATATGTGATGTTTTTCTCCTGCAAGGTTCTCATTCCATATAGATTACAAGCTATACAGAATTCTGAGACTGAGCCCTAGTGTGTGGTGTGTAGCTGGGTTGCTGGGCACACAGGGAACCACACAGTTCATGTGCTGGTGGGGGGGGGGGCAGAAGGGAGGGCAGGCCATCATGCGCTGACCTCAGGCCTTGACCTCCTTGAAATAAAGGAGGTAAGTCAGCGATTGCACTAACAGGTCAGTGATCATTGCCCCCTCTATGCTAACAGAAGACCCAACACGCCGAACTTGGCTGTCAAATGCTGCACTGACCCCCAACATTTAAGCCACACTGATCATACCTAGCACACACCTCACACATCCACAGAAGGGGACTTACTCCACCAGGCCACAGAGGCAGAGTTCAAAGGCAAAAACCATCAGAGGAGAAAAATAGTAAGTGCTTCCAGAAATGACAAAGGATATACATGGAGAAAAACACGAGTTAAGAGAGAAATGATGACGTCCCCAAAGGAACAGAGCAACATTTCAATATTAGAATGTGAATATGAGCAGACTGCCAAAACTAAAATGTTAGAAATAAAGAATTCAATATGCCAAATAAAAATAAGAGTGGAAAGCCTCAACAACAGACTAGATGAGGCAGAAGAGTCTCTAAGCTACAAGAAAAAACTTTGGAAAAATTAGCCAAAAATATAGATGATTAGACAAATAGATAGAAATGAGTAAAATAAATAGATAAATAAAAAAGCAAAGAAATGAGAAAACATGAAAATGGTGCTCAAGATAAATGAGATACCCTGAGCAAACTAACATACATTTCTTAAGAATGCCTAAAAGGTATGGAACATGAGACTGGACTAGAAGGCTTATTCAGTGAAATAATAATTAAAACTTCCCTATGAACAAAGAAAGGTGTATCTAGGTACATGAAGCCCACAGAGACCCTGATTGGCATGACCAGAAAAGATCTTCACTGCAACATACTATAGTCACACTTTCCACAAAAAGTCTAAAGAATTCTGAAATCTGCATAAAAGGAATGACAGATTAGTTACAGAAGATCTCTAACCATTCACAGAGCTGGTTTTTCAGCAGAAACCCTACAGCCTAGCAGAGTATAGAGACATAACCCAGGTCCAAAAAGAAACTACCAAACTAGAATCCCACATGTAGCAGAACTCTCATTTATATATGAGAGTGAAATATAGACATTCAAAAGTAAGCCGAAACTGGGAGAATTAGCCACAGCCCATTCAGCCCTACAAATGATGCTTAAGGATGAGCTACTTACAGAATAGAGAATGGCAACCACCATAATGAAAAAAAAAAAAAAAACACACCACAAAGGCAGAAAATCTCCAAGTAAAGCTACAAAGGCAGTCCAAAGCAAAAAAAATGGGAACATTTATGAAAAATGGTAGGAACAAGTCATTTCCTTTCAGTAATAACCTTGAAGACAAATGGCCTATACTCTCCAATCAAAAGATATGGATTGGCTGAATGGATTAAAAAATAACACTCATTTGTTGCCTACAAGAAACACAAATCAACAAGCATACACACAGACTGAAAGGGAAAGGATAGAAAAAGATGTTCCAGGCCAAGAAAAAGGAAAAAACCAGCAAGTGTAGCAACTCTAATACCATACGAAACCGACTTTAACACAGAAATTATTAAGAGACAAAGGCATTAGATAATTATTAACGGATCAGTTCAGCAAGATGAAATGATTGCTGTAAACATTTGCACCCAATGTTAATACACTTGGTTCTATGAAATAATATTTGATGGATTTAACTAGAGACATAGGCTCCAATGCATTAATAATCAGGGGCTTTCATTAGTATATAAATAGACCAGACAAAAAGTCAACAAGGAAACAAAAAAGATATTTGATATTATGAACTAAGCAGTCCTCTTGGACACTTTACAGAACATTCCATCTCACAGTTGCAGAATACACATTCTTTTCATCAGCCCATGGAGCCTATTCTAGAGGCAATCATATGCTAGGTCATAAAGCAAGCCTCAGCTATTAGAAAAAAATAGAAGTCACATCATGTATCTTTTCTGACCACCAGGGAATGAAGGTGGAAATCAACAGCTTACGAAACCCTAGGACATGTGGCATACATATGGAGATTGAATAACACACTACTGACTGAACAGGGAGTTACAGAGGAAATCAAAATATGGATTAAAAACGTCCTGAAACAAATGAGGATGATGGCAAAACATATCAAAACTTAGGGGAGACGGCAAAAGTGGTATTAAGAGGCAAGTTCATAGCAGTTAGTGCCTACAACAAGACATCAGAAAGATATCAAGTAGATAATCTACCAAATAATCTACCAATGCTTCTGAAGGACCTAGGAAACAACAAACCAAATGATAATTAGTACAGAGCTATAAGATCTGTTATGCATAAGGATTGCAGATTATGCCGAAAACAGATCCACTGGATTTTCTTCTCCATATGCAAGAGACACAGAGTTGCTGATTTCGTGTTGGACAGATAAATGTATTTTAAAAGACCATTCATTAATGCATCAATATCAACACTTAGGAGCCATATGATGAACGTCCCTAAAAAATCTTGGGTCTCCTTAATGTTTACATTATTACTTATGGAGACAGCCAAATGTTTATCACAAATACCAATGAAGGGACAGGAAAGATAACTGACTTGTTAGGAACCATCATAATCCAATGTGAAAATGGCTATGCCATTCACAAAAAAATTAAAGCAGGCTAAACTATATGAAGAGTCAAAATTTTAAAAGAAGGACATGCACCGCATGTCCCCTATGCATAGGTCATTAGCTGGAGTCTAAGATTTGAGACCCTTTTTAGTTAAATGACCAATGTTGGCAGACAGCTACCACCAGCATGGAAGTAGGGAAGGAGAGTGAACTTAGGGCTCCGTCTTGGTGCTCAGTGATGGGTCTAAGGTGTAAAACCCAGAACCAGGCAACCCAAAGACCTCAGTCCCCAGATCAGTGCTTGCATGCTGATCCTCTAAACTGATCTGGTACCACATGCAGTCATGAGCTCTGTTGGGATTGACCTTTCGTCAACCAAGGTACTGCCTTCACTATCCTCCTCCAACTTCTGGCAGCTGGAAGAGTACAACTTCAGCTACTAAGGAACAGGGCAAGAAAAGAGTTTCAGTGTTGCCTTGTACCTGAGTGCCAAGGCTGCTTTGGTGAGATCTGACACAGGATAAAACCCACTGACCTCTATCCTCAGGATAGTGCTCAGATATGGAGCTTCTAGGAATGTTCTAGAATCAGGCAGAGCCCTATGCTCAGGTGGGTCTGCCTTACACAAGTCCACCTCATCTGCAGTCACCAACGTGGTCTCTTTAGCCTGTGGGAGTTTGGTGGAATCTTAGTGTTCACAGCATGACTTATTTTATTTCTCACACCAGGTAGCACCATACACAGAGTTGAATTTCTTTGCCTTCTTGGGAGAACAGGGAGACCCGTAACAATCCATTGCACAGAAACCCAGGAACCTGGGAGGCGCTGCTTAATGGAGGCTGCTGCTGCCCCAACCTCAGTTATCGCTTTGTCACTGTTGGACCCTGTACTACTTGCACAAACCCAACCATCGCGGACTGAGGGCTGGCACTGGGAGTTGGTTCCAGTATGTGGGCTCTTATTCAACCAACGCACCCTGGCTGGGACTGAGAGGTGTACCCTAGGTTACTGCTGTTGCTGCCAGCGAGAAGAAATTGGGAAACTTCATTAGAGTGTTCACCCTGAACTAAAGTCAAAAATCCTGCCAAAGCAAATACAAAATCCTCAGGAAAAAAGAATTTACTATGAAACTCATCCTTCACAAACACTAAAACAGCTGACTTACCAGAGCTCTCAGCATATACAGAGAACAGGAAACACAAAAAAGCAATGCAACATGAAGCCCCACCAAAGGAAAAAAAAATTAATAAAGCTTTGAGACACTTGTAAAGGAAGGGTATTGAATTCTTTATGAAGCATTTCATCAAAGAAATGGGTGTAGGGATCTGCAGCGATAAAAGACACTAAAGACAGTTTAATGAAAGCGTGAAAATAATGTAAAAATGAAAAAGAAATTCAACAGAGATAGGGATCTTGGAAACAAAGCAAATCCAGAAAAAAAAAAAACCCTCTCTGGTTGAGTAGGTTGAGCACATGAAACAATATCTGCGCTTAAAAACAGGTCCATTTTAATTTTAAATGTTTATCTATTTGAAAGACTGAAGGAGAGGAGTGACAATAAAAAAAATAGAGAGAGAGATTGTCCATCCACTGATGCATTCTCTAAGCAGTCATAACTGCAGGGAAATGGCCAGGATCCAGGAACTCTACCCAGGTCTCCCACACGGGTGGCAGAGGTTCAAGCACTTGGGCCATCGTCTGCTGCTTTCCCACGCATGTTATCGAGGAAGCTAGCTTACAAGTGGATAACCCAGGACTCAAACCAGACCTGGTACGGAATACGGGTACTGCAGGTGGAGTCTTGATGCTCTGTGCTGTGATGCTGGCCCCTGAAGAGAGGTCTTAGGAAAGATCTGAGTCAGATAATCCAAGCACACTAATTAGAGGAA